AAGAATTACTGCTTCTTTCCTACCCCTTCCCACCCCCCCACCCCACCCCATTGAAATCAGGTCTCACTCTGGTTGCTTAACGTCTATAGAGGTGGGTTCATCTAGAGACATTGGGCATAGGGTCAAGAGGTGAAAGGATCCCAAGAAGCTACTATAGCCAGGAACACTGTGGATTTTTTTCCAGATTTCTGTATCTAGGCTTTTCCTTCTGTTGTCCTACTAGTCACATTCTCTCCTCCCCAAATCTCATGCTTTCTCTTCTGTGATACTGAGATTTTAGAAGAGATTAAACTCTCTAAATCAGGACTCTGGGAGAGTTTCCAGTCATTGTGGAGGAATATCTTAGTTTGAGAGCAATGGCCAGGATGACCCTTAAGATAGGGACCCCCTAGCAGACCTGAAATAGACTAGCTGCCCATTAAATATGTTGGGCTGGGGGTTGGAGAATTTGAAAGCAGAGGCTTCTTTCAGAGGGAAGGGTGCAGGGAATGGGAGTCTTCTTTGCCATCTCCAAGGGGAACATAGTGAAAAGAATACTGAATTTTTCTTGTAGAGATTCAAGTTTTGGCTTTACCACTTAAGACATGTGCTCCTAAGCAAGTTACTTCCTCTCACTGGGCCTCTTCTGTAAAGTGATGATCTGTGGAGTTCCACCTTGAACAGTCTATGAGAGTTACCTAAAAAGCACATTGTAAGCCTGTTCCTTAATAACTGGGAAGAATGCTTCTGTAGATTCCTGCCCTGGGTGCTTCCTGGGCTGTGGCAGAATCCATAGTATCTTGTTGTCATGGTGACAGCCCAACTGTTGCTCAGTTGACTCTCCTGTGGTAAGAAAATGTTGTGTCTTGGCGCCAGTGCCCACCAATACCTGTTGTTTTCTTTTTCAGCTTCGGCTTCATTAACGCCAGATTTCTTATCTTCAGGAAGCTCAAATGTCTCTTCTCCCTTCCCTTGTTTTGGATCCTCATTCCACTCTACAACTTCCTTTGTCATTAGTGACATCACAGAGGAGGCTGAGTTAGAAGGCCCTGAGCTTCCATCGGTTCCTATGCTTTGTTCTGCCAGCTCTGAATGTTGCAAAACTGACTCCAAAGCTGCCTGCAGCTTGGCTGAAGATGAGGACTGTGTGTCTCTCTCAAAAGCGAGCAGCTTTGCAGACATGATGGGCATCCTGAAGGATATTCACCGGATGAAGCAGAGCCAAGACCTGTAAGTGGCTGTGGTAGGAAACTCAAATCTTGCTTGTCCTCCGTGGTGCCATTTAGCCATCATTTGGCAGCAGCGGCCCTCGGCACTGCTAGCCACCCACTGTGCACACAGGCTCTAGAAAGTTCCAAGGTATAGTTTTCTTGGCACAGAACAGCCTTATTGTGGTAGCCATAGAAGCAAAATCTCAGACCTGGAAGGCTCAGACTTTAGAGAGCAGTTATACAACCCCATTGACATTCCTGACAGGTAGTTATCCAGTCTGTGCTTAAATATTTTACTGATGGGGGAGGCTTTTTCTGCATCTTCCTTATCCTTTCAAATGCTTACGTTCCTACTCTCACAATCTAACTCTCCCCCTGTCCCCTTCCCTCCCTCTGTCTCCTCTCCCCACCCCTTCTCTTTCATATTTAGGAAACCCCAGTCTCCATCATTCTTTAAAATTAGAGTTGGAGGGGCAGCTAGGTGGCGCAGTGGATAGAGTACCGGCCCTGAAGTCAGGAGGACCTGAGTTCAAATCCGGCCTCAGACCAAACACTTGACGTGTACTAGCTGTGTGACCTTGGGCAAGTCACTTAACCCGTATTGCCTCACTTAAAAAAAAAAATTAGTTGGAAATTCTGTTCTTTGAACAATAGATCTCTTCACTAGAAAAGTTTATGAGGTTCTGTACCTTTAGGCAAAGAAGACAAGGGACACCCTCCTAACCAAGTAGCCACGGAGCCTCAGCTTGAGGAAATCACCATTGTTAACAGATTTCAGAACTACTTTATTTCAGTTCAGTAATATCTACTTATGTGGCAGGGCCTGGGCTGAATAAAACTGCTTTTGGGGGCTGAAGAGGAAACACTTCTTACTTTGTTCAATAGAGCTTTTTCTGAGGGGACTGCTATTCTGTCTGCCCAAAGCAAGCAGTTTATGGGTCTTTCCTAAACTACTTATAAATGGGGGTAATTAACCCAGCCTTTCCCAGAGCATTTATTAGACCCTGATAGCCTTTATTTTTTAATGTTTTATTGGTAAACTGTTTTTACATCACTCATTTCTAGAAGTCCCCCATCCAGATTGAACCCTACCTTGTGACAAAGAAAAATACTCAACCAAAAATGTCAGCTCTACTGACCACATCTTGACAGTATTCTATTATAGTCTTCCTGCCTCTCTGCTATGAGGTGTCTGTATTGTCCCCTCTTCTCCAGGACTGTTACTGGGTTTTCAGTTACCTCAAAAACTTTTTGATCCTAGTAAACTGGACTTGATGTCCATTTCAGCTTTGAGGTTCTGTGCTAATTGTGGTTCCCTCACGTGTTCCCCAGTTCAGTTTTCAGGAAATAACTATGCCAAAAACACAACTAGGGTGCCATTGCTACCCCTCATGTCTTTTCCTGAAAGACTGTATGGTGTAGTAACCAGGTCATTGGCCTGGGAGTCAGGAAACCTGTGTTCTAGTCTAGGCTTTGCTACTAAGTAACTATAATCTTAGATCAGTCCTTCTCTGAGCCTGTGTTCTCATCCCTCAGGGGCCTTCCAGCTCTAAAGTCTGATTCTATGATTCTTTAGTTTGTGGAAACAAACCTGTAGGGACCTAGGTGTCTGGCTATCATGCCTCTGCCCCAGCTGTCCCATTCCCATGGGTACCTCATATCTCCAGCCAGTTGATAAGACACCATGTGATCTGTAGCTCTGCTTTCAGATTTCTCCCAGTGGTGTCTCCTGCCCACTCTCCTATCTCAATGGCCCAACTCTCAGGACTCCCAGGGCAGTGAGCTGCCCCTGGTTTTTCTTTTATGTCCACAAAGCAAATCGAGGCCAAGGGCTGAGGCCTCACTCCCTGAAAATTCTTAGAAGCTGTTTGGGGTTTTCCTCAGCTCAGCTCTAGTCTTAAACTTCTTGTGTTACCCATTACCACCTCATCGTACTTAGGTATTTATACTTCATTGAAGCATCCATTTCCCAGGTGTCTGGATGCCTGCTTGTTAATAGCTCACATTTATCTAACACATGTATCCATACATATATACACACACATGCTCATTATTTCCCATAATCACGTTGTTAAGGTGTAGATAGTACTAATATTGTTATCCTCATTTTACACATGAATTGGAGGCTGTTGAGGCAGGAGTGACTTGCCCAAGACAATTCCCCAAGTAGGCAGTAGAGCCAGCACATAAACCCAGGTCTTTTAAAAATTTGGATTTAGAGGACCTTGGTTCCAATCCCGTCTCTGCTACTTTGTGGCAAGTCACCTCATTCTCATCCATAAAACTGATGGTTTGGGACTTAAGATGATCTCTTAAGGTCTCTGCCAGCCTAATCACTAGGACTCTTTTCTTTCCACCAGTGCCCTGTTGGTTTCCCCTTGGTCTCATGATATGAAGTTTATGTGCCTCTGCATTCTCCTTCCTGTCAAGCCAACTCCCAGGAACCCCCTGGAATAAGCATTCAACACAGCCTTTCCCAGAATTGCTGAGAAGCAAAATAGCTTAAGAAAGAGAGAGAGAGAAAGAGCCTTGTTTGCCCCCTGGGGAAGGACTGATGAGCAGTGAGATAGCCAAAAGCTGACAGCAGGATTAACAAAACACCTGCAGGCTGTGTGGGTAGTAGTATTGTCAGCTTATCAAAATGTAGGGTTTGTAAGCAGTACCTCCAGGCCTGGATTGATTACACCCCAACCCTGTTCAGCCTATGAATCTTGCTCCCTGCTGATTGATTACCCTTTGTACCTCTAGGAATCGGAGCTTGATGAAGGAAGAAGATCCTGCTGTCCTCATTTCAGAAGTGTTGAGGAGAAAGTTTGCTCTGAAGGAAGAGGATATCAGCATGAAAGGAAACTGATGACCCTTTCTGTGGTGCCCTATATATGGCCCTTTCTCTAAAAGCTGTCTCACAACAGATTCTTCTGCCTTGCAGTTAGAAATGTCCTTCCACAATGGAAAACACTGACAGGCTAAAAATGGGGAGAAGAGAGAAAAGCTGAACTGCTTCCTCACACTTCAAACCTTAGCAAAACTTTTAAGGACAGTGTTATAAAAATAGTTTTGAGTTGAGGGCTTGCAGGTATTCAGTCGTGTTGCTTTAGTTCTTTTACATTGAAGAACAAGATGGGAGTTTTTGTTTTCCTCATGTAAAAATAGGCCCCAGACCGATGACTAGCTTCATTGCACTATCTACCCAGCTCCTGGTCTCAACTGGGTACATGCAATATGTCCCTCAGATGCAGCTGCTTCCTTGCAGGGGATGAGGGTGTTGAGGAGCCCTGAAGTCTTCTCAGTACCAGTCATAAACCAAGACTTGCCCCCTGCACTCATGTACCAACACCCAACTGTGCTCAGGTCTTCTACAGGTCCTGTAGCTCCAACTCATGAACAGGCTGCTGCTGGCAGGCCAGGGCTGTTTTTTCTTCTTAAAACACATTTTGTAATACTGTAAAGAAACCAAATCTTTCCATTACCCCCCAGGATCCTTGTGGCCTCCTCATTGCCATGGCATTGATGTCTTGTTCCACTGCCATTGAGGGATCTCATTGAGGAAGAGGGGAGGGGGCTGTGCTTCATTTGGGGCCACTTGTTCTCATACCTCACCCAGCACACTTAATGCATGACCCAGCCTTCCTTGGGACCTCTTCAGTAAAGGCCTGTGCACGTGTGTGGTGTTTGGGTTGAAGCACTACCTGGTATTAAAGAAAGTTTTTGAGTGGTTACTGTGTTTGCTATGTATGTGTGTACTTTGAGATGTTCATCCAATCACTCCACAACTTCAAGTCATACTATTTCCCCAAAGATGATAAGGAATCATCCCTACCAACTCCATACCTTCCAGTTTCTTTCCACATAGCATAAACAGAATTGTAGAGAAAGAGAAAAAAAACCAAAACACTGAGCTGGGGGCAAACTTAGTTGGCAGGATAAAGCAATCCAAAATCCCTTCTTAAGTCTATTCTTGACCAGGCAGACCTCAGACTTCTATTACTCCATCCATATTTCCCTCCCATCCAGAACAGAGCAGGAAGTTCTAGATATACCATCTTCCTACCTCTCTCCCTCCAAAAAGCAGTTCAGTGTAACCTAAGTATGGCTGAAATTGAATGGTGCATCTGACTTAAGTGTAGTCCCACAGGCAGCTTGTGGTGCAGTGGATAGAGAGCTAGGCCAAGAGTCAGGAAGACCTGAATTCAAATCCAGCCTCGGTCAGTAAATGAGCACCTAGTAGGCACTGAGTTAAGCTCCTCAGATACTAGCTATATGTCTTGAGGCAAGTCACTTGTTTTCTGCAGTTGTGAGGATTAAATGAGATAATAAGCACTTAGCACAGTCCCTGGCACATAGGTCTTAGAAAAATTTTTATTCCCTTCCACAGGAGAGCAAGAATTAAACTAATCCTCTTTTGGCAAGGGAAAATTACAAGCAGCCAATGTTGAAGAGCTCTGAACTGGTGGTATCTAAATCTTATGTAGGTAAATTAGCCTTTCTGGACCTCAAGTTCCTCCATAATGTGGGAGGAACCAGGGAAAGGCCGAAAAACAGCATTGCTTAGATGGATTGCAGTCTGCACTGGTGAAGGGAATACTCAGATCTATCAAAGTAAGATGGGCTTCCAATTTAATGCTATTTTTACCTATACTTTATGTCCATTCTTTGAGAGGTGCACACGTCATAAGAGCAATTCCATCACCAAAGGTTGGAAAAGTGTGCCAACCTCCATCATTAGAATTCAGGCCCCACCTCACAGCCAACCCCCACTGATTTCTAACTACTTGAAAAATCCTGCTAGAGCTTGTTATATAGTATCTAAAGAAATAACAGCATGTTAAAGCCCAGGAAAGGTGGGGGAGGGGCCATTTAGAATCACAGAATGTTAGACTGAGCTGATAGAGCCCCAAAGACCATCTGGTTCAATCCACTTTTTTTAAATTTTATTTTATTACAGATTTAACATTCAACAAACAATATGGAATTGAATAGTAAAGCAAACCATAAATGTAAATTTTTAAAAAATGAACTTTCCAAAATAATTTGCTTTCTCCTTCTGATCTTTGTACTTAAAAGTTTTGTCGTCTTTGTGCAAGCTGCACGTACAGACCAGCACGGAGTTGGAACAGAGAAGAGATTACAGTTCTATGTCATACAAGTCTGAAACATACTACTCTTGGGGCCTGAACCACATTCCCACTCCACAAATCTGGTATCACTAAGTAGTGGGGCTAAGAGATTCAGATTATAGTCTTATGATATCATAGCTGCAAACTGTATGACCACTGGATAAATCACTTCATCTCTATCTCAACCTCCTCTCAACACATGCCCTAATAATTTGCCTCACAAAGCTGTTAAGTATGTGCACATTTCTGAAACCCAGCACTTCTTATGGGGCTGCCATAGTATGCAGCATTTCAAAGTGCTTGAGTTGCTTTGGTTCAGCATACAGTCACTATTTTATATGTCTCTAATCCCAGAAATTGGTTTATCAAAAACAAATTTTAAGGGAGAATCATGGACCAAACTTTCCACCTGAGTTTCAACTGATCCTCAAAGCCCCAAGTCAGTTCTCACCCCAGGTTAAAATTAAAACAAAGTTCTAGAGAGCAAGGCTTCTGGTCTATGGATGAGGGACATACTGATGGAATTACAGCCAGGTGAAATCAAATTGTAACCAAGCCAGAAGTTGGACACAAACCACTTGAAAGACCCAAGTCAAACCTTGCAAGTTTTCTGCAGAGTAAGAACAGCCTGTATACAAAAATGTTTTGCTTTGAATAACTGCCATGGTCACTCCACAGATCTCTTTGAAAGGAAATGGCATATAGGAATACACTGAAAAATAACACCAATGATAAGCTACATTCAATTTTAATATTAGCTAGATTTAGGAGAAGATTCAGTCTATATTTGTATCAATATGGTAGTTCTCTTCGAAGAAGAGCTAAGAGATCAATAATTCTCTCAGAAAGGGTGTCTGCCAACCTGTCTCTTCCAAAACTACTCCCTCAACAAGTGAAAGTGCCTGTTTTATTTACATTCACAATGAAAAAGCTCATAAAAAGAACTAAACACTGCTTTCATTTGGCACTGCCTCCATTCCCTCAAATCCAGAACTAGGTCACCAAATGACTACACAACACAAGGCTAGCAGGGTGTTTTTCTATCATCTGGATACTTAAGAGTCTAATAATTCCCTGTTAAACCAGAAGTTCAAAAGCAGTGCTTGATAACTCTGTTACCTTGAGAGTCCTGGGTAAAGAGCATATCAGGCTGAGAATTTAACTGAGAGATACCCAGGACAGACCTGCCCCGGCACTGAACCTGAGAACTGAGGGATGTATGCAGGGGCTTTCTTGGAAAGTTGGCTATATCTTGGAGAGCAGCTCGAGGAGGGTGAGCGATGACCCTCTGGCCCTGGGAATCTTCTGTGAACAACTGGCTTTTCAAGTCGGGGTCATACCTCTCGCTATCCCAAAAAAAGGCCTGACTAGAGCAGGGTCTTTGTTTTACTAATTCTGTATCCCCTCCCCTCCAGGGCTGCTCCCTGTTTTCTCCCTTCCCTGCTTTGCCTTCTTGGTGGCCTTGGGGAAAGACAGAGAACTGTTCGTTTTCTTTGGAAAATTCTGCCGTGTCCACTAGGCACTTGGTCTCTTGCCCTTGTTTATAATGTATTTTCCCACCCTCTCTTCCCTGGGCTAGCACACCAAGGCCTTTGGAGTTTTGGGTGAAGGCAAAACCCACCTCAGTAGAGCCTACAATGTCCAACCAGGGCAGAGGCAGTTTCTGGTCTTGGCTACTGAGCACAGCTGGTCTTGCCTCTCTGCAACAGTCAGATACCTCTTTGGGAGATGTAGTGGGACAGATGAGCTCCTGAGGTTCCTTAGTGACTGAAGCAGCTGCAGTTTCAGGACACTGGACACACTCATCCCCGGGGACCAATGGAGGAGGATCCAACCACATCACATCTCTTTTCTGTTCCTTCTTTGTCTGACTTGCTGTACCCGGTGAAGGCCTTCCCTGCCCACCATCATGTGCCTTTCCTGAAAAACAATATATCTGAAAAAGTCTAGTGGTCTGACTGAAATGCAGCTACACAGTGCTCCTTCCATTAAAGTACAGTTGCCTACACATTTCCATTTCTTGGATTCTAGAACTAAATAAAGTGAACTCCAAGTGCCCCCCAGAGTGGTCAGTACCTGACTTGGAAGCAAAAAATGATGCAATGACAGTCTGCTTGGTACCCACAGGTTGAGCTCTTCTTTGAGTAAAATCAACAACAGTTTCTCTCTCACCTCGAGCTGGAGGCAGCATTCTGGTGATGGGATTGGATATTCGAGTCTAAGAAGAAAAGGGGGGGAAAAGATCATCAGCTCTAAAAGATATAAAACTTCAGCTGGAAATGAGACACTCTATAACCCTTTTGTTCCAGTCTAGTGAACTGGTGCCTCCTGACTGATTTGACTTTATTCTATTCTCTGGGCAGTTTGCTTCAGGGACCACCTTGTACTTCTTATTAGCCTCACAGCTAGTTTTCTAGGGAATAGTTTATTCTAATACAGCCCAGCTTTGTTTCCTTTCCCTAGAAATATTCAGGCTGATTACAAAACCAGAATTTTTTCAGATATGATACTGTGGATACTATTAACCATGATCAGTAGAACCATATATTTTGAGCTGTTTTTCCCAACAGTAGAGATGGGTCAATAGCTACTCTCTCTGACCTAATAATGCTTATCCTTAGCAATGTGAATTTTCAAGAGGCTGCCTAGAGTTCTCCATGAAAATATTACTACTACTCCAAGGAGCATACCTTCTTTTTGATAAGAAGATAAAAAAATGTGCTAAAGCAAGCAAAATGTACTTACCAAGTAATTACAAGTAGGAGAGAATGATAAAAACTAGGCAAATGTAGAAGAACTTCATTTAGGAAGTGTTCTTTGAAAAGATTCTATAAAGCAAGGTGAGAAGGAAATGTTTTCCAGACAGGAGAGAAAATTTGTTCAAAGGCACTGAGGTAGAAAGGAATTATCGTATCTAAGGAAATGCTAGCAGGGTCACCAGATTGACTGCTGATGTTAAATTATCTGGACACCAAAACTTTCAAAGTCACAGAAACTCTAAGTCACAGAAGGGTTGTGATCTCTGTTACTAGAAGGTAGTATTCACAGCAAATATATGTTGAAACATCTATCTGGATTTAGACCAATTGGTTCAAATGATGAGAAATGTCATCTCTGGACTAATGGTTATCATTTATTACAAAATGGTAGAAAATAAAATCCTTTTGGTTTTAATAGCCATCCAGCAGACATTTACTAAGTTTTATAAACTGTGTCCACATCAAACAATACTACATTTAAAATGGCAAATGTAGTAATTTTATAAACATTTAGTTTGCTTTTCCATACAACATGAGGTATTGGATTTATCAAGGGGAAGTTTGTTGTTATTTTTTTGTCTCGTTAGGATGTAAATTCTTTGCAAAAGGAATCTTTTTATTCTTTGTATCTCCAGCACCTAGCATAATGTATGACACATAAAGGGAACTTAATGTTTGTTGGTTAGTTTTTTATTCAATTGTTTTCTAATAAATTGATTGAATAAAAAAATGAATAAAAAAAAATACTACTACTAGGAAAAGCAAGCAAATATTTCTAGACGGCAGCTCCTGGTTCTAACACCTAACTGCTTGGTCAAAAAACCACCGCCCAAGTCGGCCTGATGTATTAGAAAGACTTACTTTCCTAGAAGGGTCTAGGGGAGGGGAAAAAAAAACTTTAGAAGGAAAGCCCAAAAGAAAAACATAAACAGTACTGCTTTGAAAATTACATGTTGAATTTATTATATACTTTAAAAGAAAAGAAAGGTGCACATAAGAGTTTTGCATAAAATCTTTTTCTGTTCTACTATGTATATGAAATTCTCATTTTATTTGGTGTTAATAATTTTTAAAAAGAAATAAAGATGGGGAAAAATATCTAGGATAAACATCCATTAACTACTACCTATTAGTTATGTGATCACCTATAAGAACATATTTACGAACATTTTTTTCAAAAAGAAAATTTGTATTTATATCTTTTGTTTTATATCAACTACATTTCTCAATATATCCTTTTCCCCTCCCCTTTCTCAAAGGGCTATCCCTTAACAACAACAAAAAAAAAAGGGTGGAGGTGGGGAACCAGTTCATCAAAACTAACCAACATTGGGGCAGCTAGGTGGCACAGTGGATAGAGTACTGGTCCTGGAGTCAGGAGGACCTGAGTTCAAATCCAGCCTCCGACACATAACACTTACTAGCTATGTGACTCTGGGCAAGTCACTTAACCCCATTGCTTAGCCAAAAAACAAAAAACAAAACTAACCAACTTTTCCAAAAAAGCCTGAAATTATATAAAGTATTCCACATCCATAATCTCCCACTTCTACAAAGAGAGGACATGCCTTTTCATTTATCTTCTTTAGGGTCAAGCTTAGTAATAGTACTTTGTTTCACTGTTTTTATTTACATTGTTGTAGCAACTAGGTGGCACAGTGATTAGAGCACTGGGCCTAGAATCAGGGAGACCTGAGGTCAAATCCTTTCTCGGACCATAAACACATTACTTAACAGTTGTTTGCCTCTGTTTCCTCAACTGTAAAATAGGGATAATAGTAGTACCTATCTCCCAGGACCATTAGAAGGATCAAATGAGATGTTTGGAAAGTTACTGGTGCACAGCAGGTGCTATATAAATGCTTATTTCCTTCCCTTCCCCCATCTCCTCATCCCCACTGAACATACTGTTTTTCTGGTTCTGCTTACTCCTTTTGCATATAAATTTCCCCAAGTTTCTCTCTATATTCATCAGATTCATCACTGCGTACAGAGCAGTAATATTCCCTTACCTTAAATATCACAATTATCCATTTCCTCAAATGATGGGCATATACTTTGTCTTCAATTCTTTGCTATTACAAAAAAAAGTACTGTTTTACATATACATACACACATATATATGCATATGTAATTGTGTGTGTATGGGGCCTTTCTTTTATCACTGACCTCCCAGGATTATATGCTTAGCAGTGGGATCTCTGGGTCAAAGAATGTGGAAATTTTTGTCATTTCTTAGCATGATTCCAAATTGCTTTCCAGAATGACTAAGGCCAACTCGTGACTTCACAAACAAAGCGTTAGTGTTCCTGTCTTCCCATAATCCCTCTAACATTAACTATTCTCATCTTTTGTCACCTTTGCCAATCTGATGAAGGAATTGTTTTGATTTGTGCTTATTATTAGTGTTTCAGTCATCTTTCATATGGCTGTTAATAGTCTGCAATTCTTCTTTCCAAGACATTTTGTTTATATCCTTTTACCACTCATCAACTGAACTATGACTTTTGGTCATATATTTCTGTTGTCTATGCACCTTGGACATTAGACTCTTATCAGAGATATCGGATGCAAAGATTTTCCTTCCAATCAACAGCTTCTCTTCTTAGTTGCACGATGCAAAAGCTTTTCAACTTCATGTAACTGAAATTACTGAGTTTATCTTTTGTGATCATCTCTCTCCTTTGTTTGATTTAGAATTCATCCCTTAGCCACAGCTGTAAAAGGTACTTGATCTGATTCTCTTCTAATTTTTTATAGTATGACCTTTAATATTCAGATCACATATCCACTGAATTTATTACAAAATATCAATTAATAAGCATTTAAATATGGGCCAGGTAATAAAAACTGGGAATACAAAGGCAAAAATAGTTCCTCTCTTCAATGAGTGTGCATTCTAACAGGAGAGACAACATATAAATAACTAGGCACATACAGGATACATACCAAACACATGGCAGATAATCTTAGAGGGGAAGACCACCTGTAGAAGATGGCATTTGAGCCAAGTATCGAAGGAAGCCAGTGATTTTAAGAGACACATGTGAAGAAATAAAACATTTCAAACATGGGAGAGAGACAGGGCAAAGGCTCAGAGACAGGAGATAAAGAGGAGAAGAGCAAATAAGCCAATATGACTAGACCACAGAATACGTAGGAGTAAAATGTGAAAAGATTCGAAAGATGGGGCCCAGTTGTGAAGAGCTTTAAATTCCAAACAAAAGACTTTATATTTGATCCTGAAGGTAACATGGAACTATTAGAGTTTATTATATGGGGAGAAGAGGAGTGACATAATTAGGCCTGTGCTTTAGCACTTTGGCAGTTATGTGGAAGATGGATTGGAGTAGAGAGAGGCTTGAGGCAGGAAGACCAATTAGAATGTTATTACAATGTTCCAGGTTAGATGTGATGATGCCTCAACTAGAGGGATGGTTTTCTATGTGAGTGAAAAGAAGCTGTTGTACCTGTATCAAATTGCTTTTCTTATCAATGAGGAGGAAGGGGAGGGAGAAAAGAAGAGAATTTGGAACTGAAAATTTAAAAAAAACAAATGTTAAAAATTGCTTTTACGCGTTGGAAAAAGAGGTGAAAGAAGCTGTTATAAAAATAGAAATGACCAAATTTGGCAACTGTTTAAATGTAACTGTTAGGCTACTAAGTGGCTTAGTGGACAAAGCACTGGGCCAGGAAGATCTGAGTTCAAATTTGGCTGAAGACACTAGCTGTGTGACCCTGGGCAAGTCATTTAAAAAAAAAAATCTGCCTGCCTCAATTTCCCCAAACTGTAAAATAGGGATAATAATAGCCCCTATCTCCCAGAGTTGTTGTGAGGCTCAAATGAGACAATATTTGTAAAGTAGCCCAGTGCTTATAATTAGTAGGAACTCAACAAATGCTTATTTCCTTCCTATGTTTGGAGTGAGTGAGAGTGAGCAGAGTTTAGAGAAGAGAATTAAGAACCTGGATGACTAGGAGAATGGTGGTGCCCTCGATCTAACTTCTGCCAAACTGGTTTCCAGTTTTCTCAGCAATTTTTGTAAAATAAAAAGTTTTTTCTTAAGTAATTTATGTTTTGGGGTTTGTGAAGGATACTTCCTTAATGTCAACAAAGAGTATTTGTCAGGTATTTGTCACTCGAGAGATGGTTCATGCCACTGACCGATGCTTCTGGAATGTTAGGAACATACAAGGACAAAAAAGTCTATTTATTAAGTGGCAGGGTCGCAGAGGAAGTCATAGATATGTTCCTTGAGAAACAGTATGTGACAATGTAGAGATTTAAATTCTGACATGATAGATACTTTCCCTCAAATTACTGACTTTTACCAGGTAAGGTGATGAGAGACTGTGCATGAAAAAACAAAAGTATCCCAGATCTCAAAGAGCAAACAAGGCAGGGACTTTGAGTACTATGTTGAGGTAATCGAGCTTTTTCTAATGCTATTATCTACAGGACTCTGGCTCAGCCTGCAATTCACTCCAACTCTCTCATGTTCTACAATTATAACTGACTGGACTGAACCACTAGAACTATATCCCAGCCAATTCTGGCCATTTCCTCACCATGCTTTCTCTATTCCAACCACTATCTCTAAATCTACCATGTTCTCACCAGAACCTAGGACTCTGTTCCTTAGCTCTGAAAGGTGAGTTTGTGTCAGTATCCAGGCATCTACACCACTTCCTGTCTATCTGCTTACCATGCTTTCACTACCCAAACCACCAACCACACCTCCTCCCCACCAGAACCTTGGACTCAGTGCCAGGCTTCCCAGGTTCTGACAGGTGAGCTTTGCCTAATCTGGTCAAAACTGAGGTCTCCACTCCACATCTAGTCAAGCTCCCCAAAAGAGCACCCTCTGGGTATTCTCTCCTCCCCGCCTTAGTAGCATTTCAAAGAGTCATCTTCTCTCATTAAGCTCCTTAAGGATAAGGTTTGTATTGCTCAATTGTATTAGTACAGCACAAGGCCAGTATATAATGAGCGTATAATAAATACTTTACCTATCTATACATTTATCTACCCTGTGGCACTTAAATAAAGAATCTCCCAGTTAATATATTATGGGTTTATGTAAGCTTTCTTCAGGTCAGGAGTAGGTAGTCAATTTCCTTTTATGTATTCGTAAGCTAAGTAAACATAACTTTAGAAAATATCTTCAAACAGCAAAGTGTAGTAAAAAATTCAGAATATAATTTAAGTCAGAAGACCTGAACTAAAATCCTAGCCCTTATACTTATCTGCTTATATTACTCTTTCCATAAGATCATTGTAAAGTTCACTTGTTTGTTGTTCTATCAACAAAAGAATTCTAAAAGTTCTTGTAAGCCTCATTCTCATTTTGTTGTAAGCCTCAGTTTTCTCATTTGTAAAATGGGGATAATAATGCTTGCTACTACCTACCTCAGGGTCATTATATGTAAGCACTTTACAAACCTTAAGGTGATTATTAACTCCTTTGAAAACAAAGCTTCTTTTTAAAGAAAGTTGGTCTAAATGTGGAAAGTATTAAGGGAAATTGGTGGAAGTAGAGGCTGAAGAAGGGGTTCAAATCTCAATTTCACCACTGAACTCCTCCCACAAAAAGCTATGTGACTTTAACTTCAACTTAACTTGAATTCAGTTTTCTGCAAAATAGGCATAATAATGAACTACCTGACTTCACAGGGTTGGTGTGAGAATCAAATAAGACAACATAAGTAATATACTTTAAAACTGTAAAGCCCTCTACAAGTATAAACTATTATTGTCAAATCTTCTCATAGAATCAAGAAATGGTGCCCACACTCTATTGTATATTTATATTCCCCTCATTTATTCTCTCTGGTCCCAATTCTCTTCTCCCAAAAGTGCACAGCACCAACAAGAGAATGCAAAGAACCAAGGATAAGGGACACATTGAAATCTGCTCTTCTCAGCTCCCTAGTTGAGGGGGGCAAGTTGAAATACTCCTTGCTCCCCATTACCACTTCCAGGTTCTCCGCCTTCCTCCATCACTCCTAACTTCTCTTCTTTAGAGGTTTGTGCTATTCCTATCCACTACTCAATCAAAATCCTGGTAGCTGTTGTCTCCAGACTCCCTAGGTCATGCCCTTTCCTTCCTCAATGAGTTTGACACCCCGCTTACAAATTTTCCCCTCCTCTCTAATTCCTGACCTCACACTTGGGGACTTCAATATACAGTGATTCTCAAACACCCTAACCAATCAGTTCTTCAACTACTCACTTCCCATGAGCTCCACCCATTCTACCTCCCCGCCTCAGCCACACACAGAGGGTCAAGCCCTCGGTCTGGCCATCACCCACAAATGGGTTAAAGGCGCCTTAGTGGTCACAAACACAAGAACGCTCTTGATCAGCTTCAGCTGCAGACACAGGAAGGGGCATTCTCAGTTCACTCGGGAAGAAAAGATTAATTCAGATTTTTGGCCCTTACTGGGGCTCAATTGATATTAAATGATTATCACCTCCAAACCCCTGACCCCCCAATTCTCTCCCAGGCCGTCCGCCTGCACTAGCCACTCTCCTCTCCTCCCCATCTGACTCCTTGACCAGTTCAACTCCACACTGCCCCCTTCTCTTGAATCCCAGGCCTCCTTATCATATCGTCGGCCTTGGGTCATTCCCACCATGGGTCACCTTCCTTTCTACACACAAGCGTCCCCCAACCCTGACCCTGTCCCTCACGACATGCATGTCCCCCTCAGCCGGACACGCCCCGCCCCTCACCCCTGCCCTCCAGGTCAGGGTCCTTCCCGCCCTTCCCCCCTCCCCCGCCCACGGAGCCCACCTGCACTTTCCGCTTCTTCAGCGCCGCCGCATCCAGCCACACCCCGCAGGCCTCGGCCTCGGCGGGGCCTCTTCTCCTCATGGTCACCTAGGCCAAGCAGGGCCGCGGCCTCACGCAGACCTTCCCGCTGAGGCCGCAGACGCGCGCCAACAGCCGTTTGTATCTCGCGCCGGCGCGGTGGGCGGGGCTGCGCGCGGCACCCAAAGAGAAAAGCGCGTGCTGGACGGCCCACTAAGACAGCCCCTCCTCCTGCACCCTGGACCCGCCTACCCTCTGAGCCACGCCTCCATCGCTTCAGGCCCCGCCCCCGCCGCCTCCAGAGCTGCCTTCGTTACCTAGGGAATCCTCCCCCGCGTCCACTAGCCCGGGGCCAGTCCTCGGCTCCTCTGAGCCCCACCTATAGGCCCCCACCCACAATGCTCCGGGCCCCTAACTCCTTACTGCCTTTCCCTCGCCAACTTAAGGCCCCGCCCATCACTATTTCTTGGCCGGGTGTCCACCCTCCTCCCGGCCAGGGCCAGGCGGGCCTGTGGCAGAGGTTTGACCAGGCCCCGCCCCCGTCGCTGGACCTCCACCCTTCCTGGCAGCCCCGCCCCCGCAGCATCCCACATTTGAATGCTGAGCACGCTGGGATGGCTCTGGCCTCTTCCTTATTTTATCTGGACCACTCCCCTACAGCCCTCACGGCCCCCTCCACGAGCAGACCCCTGGCTTGGACCCCTGCCTCACACCCCAGCCCGGGTCGTGTGCTGAGCTGTGGGCTTTGCAGTGTCCAGCCTGGCTCTGGGCTCAGACCAGGAACACTGTGTTCCTCCCCAGACAAAGGCTCTGGTCAGCCAGGCAACAGATTCAAATTCAGTTAATATTTATTAAGGCCTATTTCAGTCCAGGTAACCGGCCCGGAAAATCACCAAAGAAGAAGCCCTGCCCCATGCTGCCCAGCCAGACCAGTATCTCAGGAAAGGGCTGATCTAGGCTTCCTTCCTCCTCGAATCTCCTGGACCTCTCTGTGGGGCTGTGGCCACAGGAGAGGAGGCAGGAAGTTGTGCTCAGACCAGTTTTCTTAAGACTGAGGGCCTGGATCTCTCCCCAGTTCACTCACACTCTCCCACACATAGCAGCAGTTGCAGCGGGTCTCCCCTGACCCCCAGGGACACCATTATGCCCCCTATACCTCCCTCAGATCAGTTGTCCGGGCCTCATCAAAAAGATCTGAAACCCTCCCTGGAAGAAGGGCAAGCAGACAGCTAGTATGGTGAAAGGGGATCAGAGAACCTGAGTTTTAACCTTAGTTACACCACTAAATTGCCATGTGACTTTGGGCAGGTATGTTCTCATCTCTGGGCCTCAGTTTCTCCATTAAATGAGAAAGGTGGATTAGAGGATTTCTATTCCCCACCCCCACTAAACCCAGCCCAGGGAGAAGTCAAGCCTAATTCAGCCCAGAATGGCAAGACCTGAGCAGAGATCATCTGAGAGACACACCAGGTAACTCTAGGGTCCAGGAAAGGGGGGTACCCGTGACAGCTAGGAGAGGTGGGCTAGGCCAGCCAGACCTGTCCTTTAAGTTTTCATCTAGGTTTTGGCCTAGAGCCCAAAGAAGGAAAACACATTTGAATCAAAAGGATAGATTCTGAGTGGGATAGGGAAGGAGGTTACAAAAAGTTCCATCCCCCTCATGTTCAGACAACAAAGGGCAGGGGCTGGGGGAAGGGTATCTACAGGGAGGGAGACAGTATTGTTATTATGTAGCCCTCCAACTCAACTTCTGGCTCCTCTGTTCACTTCAGACTACCTCCTGAAGCACTCTTCTGTGGCTGAAAAATGCTCACCGGCTTTGCTGGGAGAGAAGGAAGGTTTGGTACCCTGTCCTAGTGATTATAAGGCCTCAACCCCAAGAATGTTCTAAAATCTCTTTCCCTATTTCTCTCTACCACTGAGGATTGCTGAGTTTTGAGACCACCCTAGAACCTCCTTTCTCCACTCTCAAATCCATCTGTGGCTCCACTGTCTTCACCTTCCAGTCAATCTCAGAGCCCTGGGCTTTGCCTCTAACCCAACCTGCCACCCAGATGCATACCCCTTTTGCCCAACGGACAGGGACCATATGCCATATCCATCTTACCCAAAGTAACTTCAGAGAAAGTGGGGGACCATGACCATACCTAAATCAAGTTAAACACTTTCACCTCTCCTACAAGTCTATTTCTTCCAGCTCCATGGAAGGAGAGATGGGTGAGGAATGCATATGGGACAGGGTAGAAAGGGTGAGTGGTCTGCCAGTCTGGAGACAAAGAAATATCCTATCATCCTAAAACTCCATACCCCATCTTCCTATCAGAGCCCAGATCTACTGTCCTCCCCCATCCCTTTGGCACTGGGAAAAGAAGGGCATTGGGGGAGGGGGGAAGGGAAGGGGGTGCTTAGATTCACCAATGGCCAGACACAAACAACTTTACTGGGGCTTCCATGATAATCTGATTGGTCTCTTCGATTTGCTCCTGAGCCGGATGCTCAGCCTAGGCCCCTCCACCCTCCCTACCCTTCAGTCCTCTTTGCAGGTGAGCTCCCGCTTCACACGGTGGCTGAGGAAGAGGGCGGTGAGGACACTACAGATCACAGTCAGGAGGAAGAGGGCAGAGAAGTTGTGGGGGACACGGCGGTGGAGCCCTTCATAGATGGACCGCCGGGCCTCATAGTCCAGGGTCACGGCTTCCAGCTGGGCCAGCGTGCACAGCACCAGGAAGACATGGAATAGCTGGTGACCCTGCCCAAAGATGTGGCACTTGCCAGGGAACCACCTCTCAGGGGAGCAGGCCGAGAAGAAGGCAGCCGCCAGAAGAAAGAAAGCCACTTGGCACTTATGGTAGAGCACAGCGGGGTCCTCCTGGCCCAGGGCCTGGGCCACGTAGATGCGGTGCACCACCGGGCTGATGTCCAATGCGTAAGCCAATCCTGAAGGTATCTCCTGGCAAACTCGGCCCAGCAGCCCCGGCAACTGGCGGTACTTGGTATAGCAGGAGCCAGCACAAGACAGCCAGGCAAGGAAGGCGGCCGCAGGCAGGAAGATGGCCGCCACGCGGGCATGCCACGCAGGTTCAATGGCGTAGTAGAAATGGGCCAGGGCACTGCCAAACTGGTACACAGCCACACCCACGTAGTCCAGGAAGAAGAAGCTGTAATGCCAGAACTCAGACTTGGCCTGGAGAAGGTGGGCCAGGGCACTGAACAACAGATAGGTGATAGAAGCGAGGACAATGAGGAAGAGGGGCCGGGCGTGGGGGTCACCCACAAAGTCCACAGTGCCTGCAAAGTAGGCCAGGCGCAGGAGCAGCACCAGGGCAGCCACCAGGTGGGTCCAGACGTTGACAGCCTCATTGTGCTTTTGGAAAAGGCTCAGGAAGTAGAAACGCCAGGTGCGATGTAGGGGACGGTAACCTGAGTAGATATATGGCTTCCAGAAGAGGCGAGGCACCTCAGCCCGACCCACAGTACTGTCTGGTGGAGGGGATGCCAGCTCCCCCAGGAGCTTGGGCATCTGCCCCAGCTGCCGGACACTGGGGAAGAAGCGGCTGAGCTTCTGGGCTATGGCTGTGGCCATGGTAGGGGCTGAGGGCAGAGAGCTGTGGAAAATGAACACACAGAACAATCATGAAAATAGCCTCTGCTTCTATGCCACTTCAAAGTTTACAAAGCACAATAGTCTGGGAAGTGGTCACTGTATTATACAAAGGAGAATGGTTCATTTCCTCTATGGTCATTCCCTCTGTAGGTCATGTACCTTAGGTCAGGTCAACCTGACCATTTTACTGAAAGAACTCTCTTGAAGGCCAAGGACCTCCTCATCTCCCAATCCTATGGCCTCTTCAATCAAACAGCCAATAAGCATTTGCTAAATGCCCACTGCTGGCAAATAAACCAAGGCTCTCAAAAACTAAGGATCTCACAAGTGCCAAAGCCAACAAGCTTCTTCAATCAAACAACCAATAAGCATTTAAGTGTCTACAGTGTGCCGGGCACTGTGCTTGGCACTGGGTAGAAGCAAAGACAAAAAGGAAATAGTTCCTGCCCTCAAAAAGCTTATACTCTATTGGAGGAATGATACAGCGTGGGTCATAGGACCATAGATTTAGAGACAAGAAGGGATCTTAAGAGGCCATCTGATTCAACCCTACTCTTTTTACAGAGGAAGTTTAAAACCCTAAGAGGTTTAAAGATTTATCAAAAGTCACACAGGTAGTCAGCAGAGGTGGGATTCAAACCGAGATCCTCTAACTCCAACAATGTAATTTTGGGGATTAGGGAAAGAACACTAACAATTTGGGGGAAGGGGCAGAAGATTGGAAAAGGCTTCATAGAAAGTAGACTTGACCTGAGCCTTGAAGGTAACTAGGGATCCCAAGAGAGAAGGTAGAGCATTCTGGTCGCATGGACAGCCTCCACAAAAGCTTGGAGGAAGAAGGATTAACAAGGGTTAGTACAACCTCATCTCCATCCATCTTCAGCATCTGACACTGCCAGTAACCTGTCCTTAAATTCACACCATTCTAGAAGAACTTCTCTTGCCTCTCTGTTGTCATTTCCGTTTCCTTCCTTTGACTTCCCTTCTTCCTCCTCCCATCCTTGGGCATGCACTCTTCTTTCTGTCTCTATACTATGTCTTCTCTCAATTATTACCTCTATCAATGCGTCTGAAGTAGCCATCTATTCCAGCCCTGAAGCTCCAATTCCATCAATTCCATCGTTTCTATCAGAGGCAATATGTCTAAAATCAAAGAAGAGTCCTCTTCTCCAGATGAGTGTATCTCCCTGCCAAATTCCCAGTCTAGACCGTTGTGATACCATCCTGTGGACAACCAGGCTAAGAACCTACGCCTATCTTCTATATCCTAAATCCTCACATTTAGGCCTGTAATACGGTACATAGAATTAGGGATGCTGTCTGTTTTTAAGCATCCCCGTTCTTTTTTGCATTCAGCCATTAGGGAGGGGCCTCCTACCAACTAATTTCCTACAAATATTACAATTTGTTACCTACTTTCTAACTCAGACTCACTAAACCCATCACTTTCTCTTCCCAATTTCATTCCCT